CGGAACGCTGACTTGGGCTGCTTGGGAGCGTCTTGGACCATCCTTTCGCATTCTGGGGGCTCCTGGGAGGTGTCTTGGGCTCTCCTCGGGCGCTGTGGAGGCTCCCCAGAAAGGCCGGGGGAGCGGTACCGGGAGTGTCCCCGAGATGTCGCGGGGAGGTGTGGGACCTGGGGCCGGGGGGGCGGTATTTGTTTTTTAATGTGTATATATATATATGTACATATATAGGTGTGTCTATGTGTATATGTATGTGTATGTGTATGTGTATATGTGTATGTCTGTCTGTCTGTCTGTCTGCCTGTCTGTCTGTCTGTCTGTCTGTCTGTCTGTATGTCTCTGTCTGTCTGTCTGTCTGTCTGTCTGTCTGTCTGTCTGTCTGTCTGTGTCTGTCTGTGTATATATATATATATATATATATATCCCATTGGCACTCTTTCTCGCCCTTGCACTCATTTCTCCTTGCACTCCGCCCCCAAGTGTCCTCCCCCGCCGCTCGGATGCGATCGCGCAACGACTGCATCTCCTTGCCGAGCGCCTCTCTGGTGGTTGATGCAAGCGTCGGGGGAAGGGGGGCGAGCTGGAGAGGCGTAGACAAGTGAACGCGGAGGATGAGGGGGACTAGTACGGAGATAAGGATAAGCAGGGGAACGCACATCATGAACATAAGGAGCACGAGGAAGAGCAGGGGGTGAGGGCGAAGCGGATGAACACCTTAAGGAGGGCGTGGAGGATAACGGGAAAGAGGATGGTGATAGCAGCATCATAGGACATCAGAACCAGCATGCTGACTGAGGACGAGGAGGGCAGAGGAGGAAGATGGATGCTGACCAGAGTCAACCCAAGATGCATCAACGATGTTGCAATACACCCTCCCGTCCCAAACCCCATCATCACAAGTCCCTACACAGCGTCCTCTCCACTTCAAACAACGCCCCTTTGAAAGGCCAACGCCCAATTAGCATGCCATTCAGGCGAGAACCCTGCTATGAAAAGGAACGAACTGCCATGCGACTTTCCAACAGGAAACAACGACTGCGCGAACATATGATCACACAATTCAGCGAAGTGTCAGGCGACATCTCCGTTTTTTACAAGGCCGTCTCCATTTGCGAACGTAACTCGTGCACACATTTTCGCGACTAGCCAAGTGCAAGTCTCGCAGGAGAGCCCAATTCGAAAAAAGAGCCGCCCTACATCCGCGCAGCTGTTCCATCTGATGAAATATATGGAGCCTTGAGACTTGAAGGTCTCGAGCGAACGCCCGCTGTCGAAAGCCGCGAGTCGTTCAGCCACGCAGCTGTTGCATATGTTCAGGTTTCAGGCTGTTAGCTGTGGACAACTAGCTCTCAAGCGAAAGCCCAAGTTGAAAGGAACCACCCACCAACTCTGTAACAGCTGCAAGTTTTTACGACGAATGTGAACGGCGCTAAAGCAAGTGCCCCATTTTGAAACGAAGTGCCATCAATCATTGAAGCTGCTGCGCACTTTGAAGGGGAATAAACGCGGCGCTAACTCGCGAGATAGATTTCAAAAGCGACCCGCACAGCATGCTTGAAGATGCTGCAAGCTTTTGAGCGACTGTCCGCGGTGCTGATGCGGGAGCTCCATAAAACATGATCGACCAACGCACACAGAAAAAGACTACAGAAATGTGAGACGTGAAGATTGTCCGCGCATCCTAAGTGGGGTTCTAGTTTTTTTTGTGGACACCCCGCGCAATAACAGGAACAGGAGCCCAGTCACACCACCATCATCATCATCATCATCATCATCATCATCATCATCATCATCATCATCATCATCATCATCATCATCATCATCACCATCATCACCATCATCATTATGACCATCATCATCATCATAGCCCCGCCTTTTCGGTACTCACACACTCACACACTCACACACTCATCATCACCACCACCACCACCACCACCATCATCATCATCATCATCATCATCATCATCATCATCATCATCATCATCATCATCAACGGATTCATCAGCACTCAGTTACTCACTCACTCATTCGCCCACTCATCATCATCAGCATCACCATGATCGACATCACTCCCACACTCACTCACACTCACAAGCAAACACACTCTCACACACTCACACGATCACAAACTCATGCATTCATCTCGAGAAAGTCTAAGGCGGGAGCCTCGTCTGTGCGTAAGGAAGTCTCAAGCAGCCTCCCTATGGGGCCCGCAGATCACGTCACGAATCCGAACGGGTCATCGGAAGCCTGTGACTGTGATCACTTCTGGGCTCCTGAAGCCTGAATATGGAAGAAGTATCAAGCGGGAGCCTCGTCCGTGAGTGAGTTGCGAAGAAAACTCAGGCAAGAGCCCCCTCCCAATGAGGCCCGCAAATCATGATATTAATCCGAGCGGGTCGTCGGAAACCTGTAACTGTCGTCATTTTGGGGCTCCTGAGGCCTCAAATGGAAGAAATATCATGCGTGCGCCTCGTCTGTGAATGAATTCAAAGAAGGTCTCAAGCGGGAACCCCCTCCCCATGGGGCCCGCGCCTCATCTTAGAAATCCGAGCGGGTTCTATCGGAAACTTGGAACTGCCGTCACTTCTGGGCTCCTGAGGCCTGAATATGGCGAGAGTCTCAGGCGGGCGTTGGCAATCCCAGCGTTGTGTGCCGAAGAGATCGTCCGCAAACTTACTACTGTCATGGGCCCGCCCGACGCGAGCCCGAAATGGGGAATTCCCGCTGTTCCGCAGTAGCGCCGACGACGAGACGGCGACCGGGCGCAGGTAACCTCTTGTGTCCGGGCCTGGGGTGGTACCCCATCCTCGGCCGAATCGGGGGCAAGGGTGGCGCCTGGTTTCCGGGCCGCAGGTGGTCGTCCATCGGCGGCCGAATCGGGCGCAGGGGTAGTCCCTCGCGTCCGGGCCGGGGGTGGTGACGAATCCTCGGCCGAACCGGGGGCAGGGATAGCCCCTTGTCCCCAGGCCGCCGGTGGTAATCCATCGACGGCCGAATCGGATGCATGGGGAAGCCCTTGCGTCCGGGCCAGGGGTGATAACCAATCCTCGGCCGAACCCGGGGCAGGGGGAAACCCATTGTCCCCGGGCCGCCGGTGGCAACCCATCGACGGCCGAATCGGGCGCATTGCGTCCAGGCCGGGGATGGTAACCCATCCTCGGCCAAACACTTCATATTTTCAATACGTGTATTTCAGTTGCGTTTCCAAGCACCTTTCTTCCTTGTGAATAAGGGGGCACTCGCGCCAACTGTTTCTCATGATTCTCGTTTCTGTTAATGGAATATCATGAGATTTGTGTCGAAGCTGCGCGCGGGCACGCGCGTCCACGAATTCCTAACGCGTTGACGTATGTTTTTCGGATCGATTGGTTTTTGATGAGATGTTTGATCCCGGTTTTTTTTTTTGATCCCGGGGCGCCCTCCCCAGCGCGGATAAAAGGTACGTTGGGCTGGGGCTGGGTTCTTCAAGCGATGTCCGAACGCATTTGCTCATGTTTTCTGGTGCGGATTCTCCGGGCTTCGACGCGCAGAAGAAGCCTTGGAGCGAGAGAGCGGTGACGCACTTGCTCCGGCCAAGCCATGGCGGCTCGGAGAAGACGCCGTGGCCCTCGCTGGCGCCGGACAAGGGCGCCATGATGGTGGTGGCCTTCTCGAACGGGCAGGCTAAAAACATCGCCAAGGATACGGTGAAGGCCAGAACGCTGCACAACGCCTGAGCCATGCGAGCCCAGAAGTACATAAACGCGAAGTTGAAGCCTGGGAGCACGCAGAAGAAATTGAAGCGGTTGTGGGAACACGTCCGCGTTCTCGTCATCGAAGAGGTCAGCATGGTGGCGGCCGCGCTGTACTTACAATGCGCTTGGCCTTCGCGCGTGCCACGGACGCAGTGACATGCACGACGTGCAAAAGTCCACGTACAAGCGGCCGCATCAGCACTTTGGGGGGCGCCCCCATCGTGTTGCACCTCGTCGATTTCCTGCAGCTGAAGCCCACTGGCAGCATCGGCCTCCTGACGGACGTGAACGGGCTCCTGGACGACGGATCGTACAAGTACGCGAAGACGCCGACGGTGGAGATTCAGCACGCCATCGAAGTCTTCTCTCAGCTCCCCTGCGCCACGAGCTGGAAGGCACGAAACGCGCCGAGCCCGGGAAGCCTCTGATCACGCTCTTGGGCTGCACGCGCGAGGGCAAGCCCTTCCCATTAGAGGTCTGGTCCGCCTGGGAAAAGACGTTGGCCTCGGACAACCACGGCGTCCTGGACCCTCGGCACCAGCACGATAATTTGCGGCTCGGCTACGGCATGGGCATACACTGGGAGACGCTGGCGAAGTGGATCAACACGCGTACTCGTCGCGGCGCACGGCGTCAGGGCGTGCCCCTTCGTTTTCTTGCAGGCCGTGGGCGAGCGCAACGCGATGCTAGGCGATCCCGACGCGGGCCGGCGCCTGCCGAACATGCACAAGACAGGGGACATCCACGGCGCATTACTGGCCCACGTCGGCATGGACGTGCGACTCACGGCAGTGCAGGAATAGCTGAAGAAGACGAAAGTGGGACTCGTGCAGGAGCAACGGGCCACCATCGCGTCCTTCGAGTTCCACCCCGAGGACGAGCAGCGGCGCGAGGAGTGCTCGGCAGGCCAGCTCCTTCGCCCCCATTTCCTACGGCAGGGAATCTGGCTGCCGGTGCACGGCTTCGAGGAGTCTCCGATCTACCAGGAGGTCGCCGAGCTGCTTCGACAGGGCGCCGAAGGCGCCGACGACGACGGCCAGGCCGATGCGCTGGCGCGGAGCTTGCTGATGTTCAAGCCTTGGCGAGCAGGACCTCACGTGGTAAAGTTCGGGGCCGCACGTCGCGCGCCGCTCGGGGTTCACACTGACGAGCGCGCCCTACCTCGCCCCCACGCTGGTCGCAGGGCCAGACGCTGCGCAAAAGCGTCACCATCGACTGCGCGAAGGGCGAAGACGGTGGCTGCACGGGCATGTCGGACGACCAGTGGTGGCCGCATCTTTACGTCATGTCCTCCCGCGCCACGCGCATGCGGAACATTCTGATCCTGCGGCCGGCCTCGCGGGAATTCCTGGAGGACGGGCCGCCGGCGTCCTTGCGGAAGGCGGCCAGGGATTTCGACAAGAGAACGGAGGGCTCCAGGGCAGAGGCGGAGCAACTCTCGGCAGCACTGGGTTTCGCGCTGCCTCCCGCCTGAACGCGGCCGCGACCAGCTCGGTGCCTGCGGGGTTGTCCCAACGGCTTGCTCCCGCGCCCCAGCGGCTCGCGGGGTTGTCCCAACGGCCTGGCCCGCAGGGTTGCCCCAACGGCTGCACGATGTGGCCATTTGGGCAAGCGCGCGTGCTGGCCGAGGCGGCGACGGCGCCGAGGAAAATCGGCACGCGCGCTGTTGCAATATAAAGGGGAGGAGGCGGCGGGGGGTTAAAAAAACAGGAGGGCGAGGAGGGGGCAACGTAGGGAGCGGGAGGAAAGCCTGCGCCAGGGCGAGAAGGATAATGACGCAGAAGAGACACCAAGGACGTTT